TGTGGGCAAAGAACAGGGTTTCTAGAAAAATTGTGGTAAAACTGCAGTTCCAGAAGTGAGAGGTGGGGGTGAACAGTAGCCCATATTAGCATCTATAAATGTCATTTGTTGCCTGTAACTTGAATATGATAGGTACTTTTTCATTTTGCCATTGATCTTTCTTTTTTAACATTTTATAGCCAGAGCATTTGTTGAACACAAGTGACAATGTCACAGTGCAGTGTCACACACCAAGAGTCATCATTCAGACAGTTGCCACAGAGGACATCACTTCTTCCATATCCCAAGCAGAACTGACAGTAGATAATGATATTCACTCATCAGATTTTCCTGAGCCTCCAGATGCCCTAGAAGCAGATACTTTCCCAGATGAAATTCATCAGCCTAAGGTGACTGTAGAGCCATCATTTAATGATGCTCGAGTATCCAAATTCAGTGACCAAAATAGCACAGAACTGATGAATCATGTTATGGTCAGAACAGAAGAAGACCTTAAACAAGAGGAAGAATCACGCTCTCATTTGGCCTGTACTTACGTTACTGAGGTAAGTTATACTTAAGTGAACAGCCTAGGGGTTCTTGCCTTGAGCTTCAAACCTGCAGTTTGGAAAGAGCTTAGAAATAATTTACCGGGTGATATCCTGTGATACTGCTTTTCTTTAGACACAAAATAAAGTGCAAACCCGTACCTCTGACTGCACAAGTATCAGTCAACCAGCAGTGTTGCTCTGTCTTACCACTGTCCCTCACTAAATGAAGACCTTAAACTGGAAACATTTGTTGGAACCAAACATTTGTTGGAACCCATGGAAGCATTTTCCTGAGGGTAATTAATATAAATATGGTTTAGCTTAGGAGCCTCATGCCACAGAACAGCATTATTCTATAGTCAGGGGACCTATAACTGAATTGGTTCTTTTGTCCATGTTAAGACCTTAACTTTCATTTCTTTATATTATAATTTTAAAACTAGAGGCTCGATGCACAATTTGTGCACCAGTGGGGTCCCTCGACCTGGCCTACAGGATCGGGCCAAAACCGGCTCTCCAACATCTCCCGAGGGGTCCCAGGTTGCAAGAGGGTGCAGGCCAGGTCGAGGGACCCCACTGGTGCACAATCGGGGCAGGGAGGGACCACAGGAGGGCTCCAGGGCATGTCCGTCCTGTCTCGCTTCTCGCTCAGTCCTGATGGGCCAGACCCCAGCAGCAAGCTAACCTATGAGTAGGAGTGTCAGCCCTCTGGTGGTCAGTGCACATCATAGCGACTGGTCAACCGGTTGACTCTCTGCCCTCTGGTGGTCAGTGCCCATCATAGCAAGCAGTTGAGCGGCCTTAGCATATCATTAGCATATTACACTTTGATTGGTTGAATGGACCACTGGACACTTAGCACATTATGCTTTTATTATATAGGATGGGATACTTGAAAGTTAAACATGTTTGGGATCTTAAGGAAAACTAATAAGGAATTTGAGTCAGAATCTCATTTTTTAAAATTATTATTTAGGATTTAGAATCTCCTACTATAGAAGAACAAGTTGGTCAAACAACAATTGATGATGAAACAATACTTATTGTTCCTTCACCACATGGCTTTATCCAGGCATCTGATGTTATAGATACGGAATCTGTCCTGCCATTGACAACACTAACAGGTACTATAATACATCTCCATCATATGCCTGGTAAGTCTTGAGACAAATCAGGCAGATATTTAATTCAGTTGTTTTAATCTTTCTTGATCCAACAATGAAGATTAGTCTTCTTGTTAAATTTTTCACTTTGGTAGAATACTTACTCTAGATTCTTGACATGGATTAGGATATATATATGTTATATACATTCAAGACTGATTTGAAATTTAACTCATTACAGATCCCATATTCCAACATCATCGAGAAGAATCAAATATCATTGGATCATCTTTGGGCAGTCCTGTTTCAGAAGACTCAAAGGATGTTGAAGATTTGGTAAACTGTCATTAGGTAATTCTTAGAAACAGGTAGTTCAGGCAAAGAAGCCACACTGTTAATTACAACATCCCCAAAGAAATAGGAGAAACCCCCAAGAGGCTTAACTTACCATTCCTCTGGCTTTTAAATACATACAGTGCTTAAGCCAAGAACAGTGTTGCTGCTATGACTTTTTACCTCCTTTAAATATATCATCTGCCGTCTAGTCTTATGGAAGTATGAGTGTGGGAGGTCTTAAATACATAGATCCCTGTGATAAGTGCCATCTGTTAGCAGGGAATTTCATTCACTTCAGCCACTGAGAAAAGTTTTAAATCACCAAAGTTTAACTACTGTGTTTTAGAAATGGCAATATTCATCTCTGATGATCAGATATGAGTCTCTGTCCAGTCCCAAGTAAGCCTGTTTATATTTCATCAACATGGTCTGGAGTTACCAGTGACCTTCTTCAAAAAGATTATCATTAGCTTGAGACTGACCAGCATACAAGGACACAGACCTAGGAGGTGATTGTGCTGCAGTTTCCTTTGGTTTTACTGATTGCTGGCATTGGGAGCTGATTCAAGCTGGGTAGAGAAGAAAGCATTAAGAGATAAAAAATATTCACTACAGGTTTTTTTTTATTATTATTATTACTTTAAAGGGACTATGGATGAGGGTAGTGTCAAAACTCAGTTTTCACTTCTTCAGAACCCGCTGTCATCAGTTTACAAAATTAGCACTTTGAAGTAAAGTGAAATGGGAAGGAAGTAAAGTTCCCTGTCTTATACTATGACCATTTCTTATCTGTTTTACAATATAAAGTATCCAGAAAATAATTAAGGAGGGTATCAGAGTTTGCTGTTCACTTAGTGCATTAGCTGGTGAGGGTGTGATAAAATTTCTCCCTCTCGGGCAATTTTAAAAAACAAAATTTGCTTCTGTAATGAAATGAAACAAATCAAGAGTCATTCCTGTACTAGAGAAGGTTAAACCAAAACTAGCCTCTTAAAGCTTTAACAAATATGACTCTATGGAAAAGTAAACAAAAAAAAACAACCTTGTATAAATTATTTTATTTATTATTGTAATTAGATCTTCACAATCAAATTGTCTTTTCACCGTCTCTGTTTTGTTAATGTGAAAACAAATTGTAGTTTTAAGCAAGAGTTGGTTGCCTAGGGAACAATAATTGTATATTCAGTTTAACAGAAATAAAAGAATATTTGTCTTAAAATGCAAGATTGTTTGTTACATAGCCTTTCGCCATGCCATTACATTATAAAAAATTTCAATTTCAAAAGTGAAAATTACTTGTGCTATTTGAGCTTTAAGGGTTGGAATGTTTAAGTGCAACATCAGCTCCTTAAAAAAGCAAAGTGATCTATATAAAGTCTCCCTTGCAAGAGGGAATTTAGATTTACAGTTAACATGAAAATCATGTATCAGACTTGTGCAGGAGATTCTTCAGCATACCTTATCCAGCTTTTATTCACAGTCCTAATGTATAGCTTTGAAGAGACCTGGTAAGTATTTTCTCCTTGGCAGCCTCACTTTCCCACATCATGGAAGTACAGGTTCGCACATATACATAACATGGTGATAGAAAATAAGATATAGTAAATTAGATTTCTAAATTTCGGTTCTAAGTCTCCTTGTCGATACCAGTAGATCTAAAAGAAGAAGAATTAAATAAAAATTTAAGTAATAGCCATTGGTTCAAGTATTTAAAATACAACTAATTATTTTTCCTCTGGATGAGACAGATTTTGTATTAATCTACATTCCTGAGACTTAATGCAGCCAGAATTTAATTCTCATTCTTTATCATTCAAGTAGTACCACTAAGTTTCCACATCCAAAATCATACTGTTCCTGCTTGCTCAGTTAACATTGTTCTATGTTTAAATCAACAGCATCCCCCAATCATTTGGCAAGCATTCAAAAATGTGTACCATTTGGATGTTTTAAATATAGGGTGGGCAAAAGTAGGTTTGCAGTTAAGAGTATGCCAGAGTTTATTCTTTTGTGTATTTTCCCATACAAACAAACCTATCTTTCCCCACCCCTTCATATTTGAGTAAAAAATACAATTCCTTTAGATACTGGAAGGGGCAACAACTTTTTAATTCATATACAATTCAGACTGCCAGTACAAAATTGGGCTTACCTATGCATGTATTTGGTTTAAACTAAATCACTGTTAGTCACTTCTGGCTTTAAGCTGGGTATGGGAGGAGAGCATCTCTGGTAGTTTTGTTCCAAAGGCTCCTAAAGTGAGGTGGCCAGTCCTCCCCTCAGATCATAGGACAGCAGAATCGGTGCATTAGAAGTTTGGAGATCCTGTTTAATCTTAAGTTAAATGAGCATATTGCTATTATGAGTCAAGCCCTATGTGAGTCAAAACAAATACTCTTAATGGGTTTACTGTGTTGATTCTGCCTCTCATCAAAGGAAATAAAATAATAACCAACTAATGAATGACTGAACACTTGGCAAATACCCAACTGAGGCCTATCACCATCTTTCTCACTTCAAAGAAAAGCTTTGTAATAAAATTGAAACTAGTGACAAGGATACAACTGCAGCTCTAGGTTCCCCTGGAGAATTACTTTCATTTGGGGAGGTAAGCACAGAAGTTAAAACAGACTTTTTAATTATTAGAAATAAATCCAGAGTGCTAGTGCTGTATCTCTTCCTGTAAGAGCAGTAATGGCCTGTCCCAAAGCCTGTTGAGCCTGCAGTTCTTGAAGGAAGATAAGTTCAACAAATTTTTGGCGACCTAAGTCTTTTTAAGTATTTCTTTTTTTCCATTTTTTAGCACCAAGGGAAGTTTCTCTTTAAAGTTACAACTTTGGGATTTAAGAGAAAAGGAATTCAAATTAAAAAAGAAAACCCTGCAATTAATATTGAGAATTCTGACATCCTTGGGGGGTGGGGTTGTTAATTAGCGATACCCTTTCAGATAGACCCAGAGTTGGGCATTTGTCCAGGCACAGCAACCTTCAGACCTCCAGGATATTCAATTTCAATTCTAAACAGTACTCACAAGTATGCAGGCAGTAATACTACTCAAAGAGATGCAGACAGCAAAAAATATATTCAATGGTTTTGGAGGTGGTTGAGGGAAAACAAAAGCACTGATCAGCGTTACCTGTATGAAGAGAAATTAGGCCTTAGGAGTAATTTGGTTAGACAATGTAATATAACATATACTTCACATTGTAAAATGATATCACCAGATTTGCCTTATGGAATGTTAATTTTAATGTTTAATAAAATACTTGCTTGACTGTTACTTCATTTAGTACTTCCTCTTTCTAACTTTTTCCTCCTTTATGAAAGGAGACAAAACAAAGAGCAGTGTAACTAGCTAACCTCGAAATAATCTCTTAACAAAGATTAAAAAGCATCTTAGCCTCATTCCTAGGATTAATAATTACATTGGGAAAAGTTCTAACCTTTTTGTTATTTTGAATACTCCCAACAACAAAAAATGACAAGTATGACCAAAACTGTTTTTGCTTAACATTATGAAAAATATTGAAAGGGATTTCTAATGCCCTATGGAGATCTATTTCTACCATAGATACAGCAATCTATCCTTTTTTATTAATAAGCCTTGTTAACAAATTGCCTAAAATTTTCTTACATTTAATGAATATGCGCCACAGAAATGTCACTCTCAGACTATGGGAAATAGCTTTGTTTTTTTATTTATTGTGATAGCACCAACCTATATTATTCAGGATGAAAAATTGCTGTGTAATATGACCAAATATTTTTAATCCAAAATATGATGAATGTGCTTTAAGGAACAAAGTAAATTTAAGATATTAACAAAAAAAGTGATGCCTGTAGGGTATGTACAGAAGGGAATTGTGGTAGACACTGACACATTACTTATTTACTAGGCATACTCAGAAAAAATAAGTTATTTGACTTGTACTATTTCACATATTCAACTATGTATGCAGGTGGAAACCAATTTAGCTATTCAAGTTACTAATTGCAATTTTAAGTATTTTTTTGAAGAGTTAATTGAACCACAATACTAAAGTTTTTAAAACTTTGGCTAAGAGCCGGGGTGAGACACAAAATAAAGATACTTACTAGAATCAATAAGGATGTTAAGATGCCAACAACTAAATTGATGATTCGATCCTGAAAGAGAAAAGAGTTTTTGAGCCATATGGTAGATCTATGGCACTTTCAGAAAAGTACAACACCAGGCACTGCATGATTAGAATGAAGAAACAATGACCCTGCCCCTCTCTTTACACATACACAATTGCCAGAAAGGCAAAGTGTACTCTGCCACCAAAGTGGAAAAAAAGGTACTCTGGGAAGACAGGGATGTCAATATAAGAAATACTCAAACCTGTAGAGAATTTTTGTGAGTTTATTTGAGCCAAATTGATAATTGCAGGGAAGCAAAATCTCAACAGATTAAGAAAATGCTCCAGAGAATGCCAGTTTTGCACCTTAGTTTATACATTACAATCAAAAAAGGAGCCGTAAGTGGGTTATGGGTTACATGAAATCTATTTGTGACAGATTAGGAAGGCCGGAGAAAGCAAAGCAGGGAAATCTCTGGGATTGGATAAAAAGTAAAATGGTAGCCCTGACCGGTTTGGCTCAGTGGATAGAGCGTCGGCCTGCGGACTGAAAGGTCCCGGGTTCGATTCTGGTCAAGGGCATGTACCTTGGTTGCGGGCACATCCCCAGTGGGGGGTGTGCAGGAGGCAGCTGATCGATGTTTCTCTCTCATCGATGTTTCTAACTCCCTCTCCCTCTCTGTAAAAAATAAAATAAAATAAAAAAAAAAGTAAAATGGTAGACATACTTGTTTTACATAGGTGAATATAGGATGGTTAACAGTCAACAGTTAACAATGAGGGATTTGTGGTCTCCACAGAGTGGTGCCTCTGCTTTGAGGGGTCTGAAAAAAATTACTTTGACATTCCAAAGGAATGTTATTATAGATACCAAAAAAAAACAAAAACAGGCTTATTGGTAAAGGTGAAAACTGACCTTTATCAGGGAAGATTTCTAGGACAAGACTACCCACCATAAACTGCTTTTAGTTAAAAGTTTTAATTTAGACCATCCTATGTTTGTAAGGCCACCACACAGGCCTCCTGAGATTGTCAGGTTTACTATATGGCCCCTTTTTGTCCACAGGGACAACTAATGTTTCTTGACAGGATAGGACATGTTTTACACTCAAGTCTTTTGAAGATGGAGAAGGATTCGATGGGGAACATTGAGGCTTACAAAAAATCTGTGTGCTGCTAGAACGTAGGAGCAGGAGCAAAGAGACAGAGCCCTGGGATGGCCTCCTAGATCCTTGGTGAAAAGAACCAAACTGTAGTGATGTTAATTGCCATCATGAGTTTTTTCCAACTTATTAAATGGGGAAAAGTCTTCAATATATAAACCCCCTGACTGCTTTGTCTTTCCCATCCTCACCCCAACAAACCACAATGGTTTCAAAAGCTGATCTAATCCAATCTTAATTTTACAGGTTAAGGTACATGTAGGCCCAGTGAGTGTGGTTAAATAGTGCCTAAAGTCACACAGCAAGTTAGAAGCAACTTCGAAACAGGGTTCCTAAATCAGGTCCTCTGATTAGATTTAGCTTCAGTTATGGGGACAAAAAAAAGTTAAATACTTCACATACATATGTTACTAATATTAATTATGCAGATCATATATATGTTTTAAGTTATAGAAGTTGTTTGTAGAGTTCACAGAATAAGGTCATAAGGACTTAAGACCTGATGAGCAAACACTACTGTAAGACCAATAAATACCAAGCAGTCTTCTTTCTGAGAAAGCTGAGTAATGAATCAGTAATCTCACAGATTGTTTTGGTAAAGTTTTAGCAGAGAACAGCAGGATATGGAATAAACAAAAGCTCAGAGATGGGAAGGGTATAGGAACCAGCACAGAAGAGCAACTGAACCCTCATTTCATAGTGAAAAATAAGAATCCAAAGTTAAGAGACAGGCAGAGCTGGGAGGCAAGAGTGAAAGAAAGCCAAGTATCATATGGGGTGTGCCTAATCTAACCAAGGACAAGCCTCTGTCCAGACCAAGGCCAGTGCAATTCAATGTTACATGGTACAAAGGAAACTGAATACCTGCCACACCCTTTCTAACCTAGGAAGGCTCAGACCATATCTTATCACCGCCTCAGCTAGAGGAGCCTACACAGCACATAGTAGCCTGGAATTGCAACCATTTTTAGAGAAGAGACCCAGGGGCTAATAACTGGTCACTATTATTCCCACACAACACAAATTTTAAATGTGTGTGTGTTTAACATAAATGTGTATATGGATCACTCTACCTTGTGAAAAAGGTTCATCTAAACTCTGATGGTCTACACTGAGAAGTCAAGAGTATCTGCTCCCATCTATAAACTCCAGGGATTTGCAAAAGCTTAAGGAAGTCTGCATACCTTCCAACATTCCTCTTACCAATAGAAGCCAGTGAAGATGTTCAGGTGAGAGGTAGCCAAGAATCACTAATCTCCAAACAGCAAGTTGCCAACGTGTGTGTGTGTGTGTGTGTGTGTGTGTGTTGGGGGAAAGGGGGTAATGGTGAGGAATAGTAACTATGCCAGAAGTTTTTGCGTATCTTTTCTAAAAGTCCTGGGATGAAATGGTCTGAGAGTAAAACAGGGTCAGGGAAATTGAAAACTTGCCCAAGTTCTCAATATCAATGAGTGATGGAGACAGAATTCAATGCCAACAGAGCAGATTCCATTTATCCTCCTCACTGGAAGAGCAACCTAGAATGCTACTGCTGGTCTAGACAAAGATGCCAAGTGGCAGTTGACACCTCAAAAAGCCTACTGGCCAGGTATTACAGTGTTTATCTTCCAGGAATGAAGATTTCCTCATAAGATTGTCGGACTTATCCACGTAAGCTTAACTGGTTTTAATCACTCATGAAAATATAGCTAAACTAATGACTACTACCCTTTTTGCCTTCTAGACAGTTCACCAAATGGAACGCTGAGGCATCTCCATGAATACCGGTTATTCGATTGTTATATCACAGTCTCTCTGGACTCCCAAGATGGGATGAACTATTTGGCAAAGGGCAGGAGTTTCTCACAGGGTATTTTTTCTCCAAGCCAAGACCTTGGATTCAGACCTTCTGCTATCAAAGTAACTATGAGTCCAGGCCAAAGAAACAGTTAACTTTGGAAGACCTCACACTCTTAGGCTCTTTCTTCTAAATGCTTGCTACCCAAAGTGTGTTCTATGGGCCAGCAACACTGGCCCCAGCTGAGAGCCTGCGAGAAATGCAGAATACTGGGCCTCACTCCAGACCCACTAAATCAGAATCTGCATTTTACCAACTCCTCAGGTGACTTTTGTGCACTGCTCTAAAGTTTAGATTCTAAATGAAACCGTTTTGAATACTGATTAAGTCCAAGTCAAAGGTGAGAGACCTTTCCCTGGGCCCAGAGATTGTTTTTCAGGGCTCAATTAGCTCCCCCAGCTCCCAGTCTCCAAAGATAAAAGAATAGAGAACAATTAAACAGCCAATTAATTAGTATTTCAGGAGTTTTAGAATTGATAGGCTCCAAATCAGAAATAGAGCACTTGGGGAAAAGAGACTACTGAATTTAATCTTTGCTGTTAATGGAATGAACTGAAACTCAGATTATTTCCACAAGTATAGCTAGTCCCTATTATTCTAATTTCTCACAGAAACTAGTGCTATCTCCTCCCCAGTTTTATTACCCCTTTCCATCTACCAAGACCATTCTCCCTTCCCAGAGCCTTAAACTTGTTGCTTATTTTCACTCCCCAAGGAAGCTTGACAGGATCAAAACCAGCCTTGATCCTTACCTGCAGAGAGGACGGGATAGGGAATCAGGATGTCCTTCCCAAAGACAAATACTCAGCAACAGATTGAGAGTCTTAACTCACATACATGCAGATATGAGCACATGAACATAAAAATATACACGTATAGTCTCGAGAAGGATTCTGATATATAACCTCACAAGTTATTTTTTCATTTAAACATTATCTCAATTATTTTTCAATAAAAGAAAAATCCATCTACTATATTCCAGATGCAAACACACAACAATGAATAAAACTGTCTCTACCTTCAGGAAGTTTACACTATCCAGAGCGCCAGAGGGCACTTAGGAGAAAGGAAGTGAGGTTTCTTGGCCGCCAGGGAGGGAAGAGCAGGAGTAGTAGGAGCCACATCTTCATCTTCCTTTGAAATGGGGAAGGAGAAAAAAATGGACATACATGCAAATGGCTTCTACCTGTCAAGCAAGTAAGGAAAACCTTATTTCCTTTTACCAATGGGTAACTAGATTCAATGACACAGGTAATGGTAAGGTCTCCTATCCAATGCTTTATACAAAATGCAAGCCTAACCAGCAGTTCAAAGGTCTAAGAATCCTTACACCAATACAAGTGGTCCCTGAAACTAGAGTCAAAAGACCAAGGTTTTCAGTGGCGTTTTGTAACTGGCGTATCTTTTCTAAAAGTATCTTTGAAAGGATCAAACTAGAGTCAAAAGACCAAGGTTTTCAGTGGCGTTCTGCCACTGGCTAGTTATATAACTCTAAAAGGATCCCTTAATCCATTTGAGTTTATCAAATCAAATGATCTCTGGTCCCTTCCTGCTTTAATTTATGGCTCTGGATCATCAATCACCACTTGGGTCAGAGGAGAAGGCCAACTCCCCAGTAATCAAAAAGTAGAGGAGCTCCCACCCAATCTTGCTTGGTCAGTCATTAGCCAGCATCTTGCTACAAGACAGCGAACCCCAAACTGATTTCAAATGCTCAGCCTTTTAATGATGGCTTTGGAAGGAAATGGGCAGTAACATCCCAAATAACCAAACCTGGCAATTGTCCTCAGCAACATGGAAACATCCTAGTAGACAGTTTGAAATGCTAAGAAGAGTCATATCATGTTTGACCTTCTATTTCCACAGCAATTTATGTTTTGCCTGCTTCCAAATGGACTTAAGGACTTGTGCTACTATAGTAAAACTCATAACCCATTTAAGCAACAATAAAAAGCAAGAAATAATTTCTAAAGGGGTTTTGGGAATGAAAAGAAGAGTTTACGGGGAAAAAAATTCACTAAAGAAAACTCTTCTGCTTTAAGTTCA